ATACCGATTGCATTCTTGAGATAAATCCTAGTCCTCCATAAGATAAACCAGACCATAAAAGTGGCACCCACATAAAATGCAATGTCACGCATTAATGGCCGTTGCATAACTTCAAACTGACCGGTCAGTAGTACACTACCGACCACAACAGTGGTCACAAATATGCCGGCCCCTAAAATACATTATCATTAGATAAGTTGATAACTTTTAAATGATTAAATTGTATACCGAAAAGACCGGAGAATATAAGCTGCGGTTTATCTTGTGAGACACCACTGAGGGCCGAGAATATATCCGGGGATCCATTTCCAAAGGCCAAGAATGTAACACCCTGTTCACAAATATATGCTTNTGAACACAAAGCCCTTGTATTTGTTGCATTTCTAAATTCTCATGAATATCCTATACTATATGTATAATGGTACATATTACATGTATGTACATCGCTTATCGGACATTAAATAAACATTTAGTGAGAATTCTGCCAATTATTGTCACATCAAAATAAATATTGCATCCAATTAACACGTTTTTGTTGTGAAATCCGTGTTTTTATTTATTTGTAAATAAACAGGAGTTTATTGTATTTCACAGTAAATTTTACAAAATAAATATACTACAAATGATGGTTGCTAAAAATAAAACTTTATTATATTTAATTATGAACTATGATTTATTAGCCATATTTTGTAATATTGTCTTATGATGAACCTTTTGTTATATAAAGCTGATAATTTAATTTTTTGGTATATTTTTAGTTAAATAGTAAAATTAAAATCTAGTTTTAAGTAAATTATATCCTTAAGATTAGTTTACGCTTAATCTACAGTAGACTTGTGGGTACACTGTATAAGTAAATCATCTTTGACTTCAATTTTATAACAAATGTTTAAATTTATTTTTAATATCTTATATACCACTTGATTGTGTAATGTATAATGGTGTTTGATAATAGATTATGCATTATAGGCTATATATAATTTATAGCTAATTGAATATATTGAAATGCATTTTAAAATCACATAAACAGTGGTATTGTTTATGAGGTCCTATCGGTAATCTTCAAGTGTCTCATGAGTTTTATCTAATTATAAAAGTAGTTATTTTCTATAGGAAAGCATTGTGTCTCTGAATGTGTCGGTTATCTCAGATGTGCTGTTCCTCTTCATACATATAAAACCCTTTTGTCAGTCAATCGTTTCATTAAATTCTCATTAAATGTTAAAAGTGGTCGCGTTTTGACGTCAATTGTATGGGATTTATATAGGAATGGGAACTATTAATTAAGTGTTCAGATTAACTTTGTATAAAAACAAAATTGAGACAAATTAACAAGTCATATGAACTTTGAATATAAGTTTTTAATATTTTATGATTTATGATTTAATCAATTGTAAAGTCATATAATGTAAAACGAAGTGTGGATTCATTTGATAATAAAAAACAACAGATTCTGTTAGTTTTAATTAATTGTTTTATATTTATTATTGAAGATATCATTTAATTGCCCAAAGAAGACATAAAAGGAGCGCCAATTGCCACCATGTCTTCAATAATTGAGCTGATTATGGATGAGCCAGACCACCTTAAAGTAAGTTATTGCTACTTTTTTTGTCACTAATTGTCATCATATAATCATTGCTTTCCATTTCGGAAATATTTGCAATACTTTTAATGCTTTTAGATCAAGTTAAACTTATAATTTTATTAAGTTCATTATCACTGATATTATGTAATACATTTTATAATCAATAATTTAATTCATAATTGTAAATACCATCTAGAATGTTTTAAAAATTTTCTTTTCACTATATCTAATTTTTATATAGATCAGTTATACAAACCTTGATAGTTCTAATAAGTACCTAATTCATATTACTGGTTCTGATTAAGTACCAATAATTGTATTATCTCAGTTTATTGCAATGATTTAACTTAAAACAACATTAAGATAAATGGCTTACCATTAGACACTAATATAATGCAATATTATGTTAAATAAGTGAATTAACTAAAATGATTGATGTAATCTTTGACAGTGTCTGTTTGTGAACACATTAAACTCTTCAGACAAATGTAATTTTACACAAAGTATCGATGATTGTGGGTATGATGGTATGATTTATGATTTCACACATTTGGTGTATTGTGATATCGGTGATGAATACCGGGCCGCTTCTCTCGTCGTACTCTTTGCCATCTTATTATTCCTCTTCCTATCGATGGGTGTAGTGGCCGACGAGTTGTGAGTCTCAATCATATGTTAAATGATTATTAGGTATTTAATTCAATCGCTATTTTCCAACAGTTTATGCCCGGCTTTACTCACGATATCTAAAACACTACGATTGCCCGATAACATTGCCGTAAGACTTATTAAATGCACAATAATTTCAATGTATTTGAAGCATATATTTGTGAACAGGGTGTTACATTCTTGGCCTTTGGAAATGGATCCCCGGATATATTCTCGGCCCTCAGTGGTGTCTCACAAGATAAACCGCAGCTTATATTCTCCGGTCTTTTCGGTATACAATTTAATCATTTAAAAGTTATCAACTTATCTAATGTAATGTATTTTAGGGGCCGGCATATTTGTGACCACTGTTGTGGTCGGTAGTGTACTACTGACCGGTCAGTTTGAAGTTATGCAACGGCCATTAATGCGTGACATTGCATTTTATGTGGGTGCCACTTTTATGGTCTGGTTTATCTTATGGAGGACTAGGATTTATCTCAAGAATGCAATCGGTATGACTTTTACACACTTCTCATCTGATTGTCATTTATTATATCATAATTATATCACAAAATAACAGTGAATGCCATAAATTAATTATTGCCTTCATAACAGTTTTTATTAAATAATTATATTTTATTGTGTTTATTGTGTTTGTTTGTAATCTTAGCGTTGGTGGCCGTATATGTGTGTTATATCGCAGTCGTGATAATCGGCCGATACTTTTATTTGAAGACCAAGAAAGCCAAAGACGCGCAGAAAAGCGAGACATCGTCTGTGGATTCAACGGATGTCAGTGTCATTTCGGACAGTATTGATAGGAATAGTAAGAGTAGTCCCGATCCCGAAGCTTTTGATGGAAATATAACCTTTAAGAGTAAGAGCAATAAAAATTTGACGACAAAACGGCAAACATCGCGGTCACTGAGCGAGGAACAGGATATTGTCTTAACCCGTAAGTCAACAAAAAATTTCATTTAATTTTTTGTTTAAAGCAAATAATTAGATAAGCATTTCATCTAATAATTAAATACAGATAGAGTATTAAAATGAACTGATTCTTGAATGCAATTTATTGCTTAAAATACAATAAAAATGCAATTTAGGTATAATAATGATACTATAATAGACATAATTGCGATGATTATAATGAAAAGCACGCTTCGTTTCAGTGAACAAAATCAAGACAATAATTAAGATTTGAATAACTACTATGAATTACAGTGATTCACATCGCGTGAAAGTTTTCCACAGTTTGTCTCACTTGTAACTATAATTAAAACTTTGTTAGTTAAGACAAAGTTTTAATAGTTATTAAGTAATTGCTAGTAGCTGTTACTCTTATTATAAAACCATTAATTTAGTTATAAACATATTACTTAAACATTTATTGACACTTGTTTAGAACATAACAATAAAATAATAGTTTAAAAGTTAGACAATTCTTATCATATGACACAGACCTTTGAGTATACCTTAACCTCCAGGTATATATACCTATATACCTTGACTATTTTTCTTGAGATTGATATAAAACGAAAATTTTATTCATATAATTTATATGATATAAAAAACAATTACATTTTGCACTTTGATTCTAATAATTGTACCAATACATTTGATTTCAACTTATTATTTTAAGAGAAAGGTTGATTAGTAATCAATGATTACGTACCAGTTAACCCTAACCCCTATATCCTGATAGTTAAAATTCTTTAAGTAAACACTTTGTATAAGAGTATCTATAATATTGATAGCAATCTCAACGACTTATTAATACAAAAATAAATATATCACATTAATATTGCTCTAAAATGGTTTGGTGCAAGGGTGTCTTGGATCTAGTTGCGATTTATCAAAAATTCTCAAGCACACATTATCAATGACTGAGATTTGAAAAACGTTTTTCTAAGATAAAACAATTGAAATTGAATCGATAAATAAATAACAAACATATTATTGTTATAATGGAAAGGCTTCTACCGAAGGGGCACTTTGAGGACACCTCGACACAGCCGGGCCAACTCATTTGTCAAGAAGTTAACCCGACACCATCACGACAATGTGCTGGCTGTCATTGAACGCAATTATGACGACCAGTATAACAAAGTGCTGGACAAACGTCA